GTTTTATCAACGGTTTGTAAATACATGAAACCAATGGGATTCAAGACGAACGAAACAATTACGAAGAATCTAACTGCTAACTGTCATGGTTTAACTTTTTTCCGTGAGCATGGCGGGTAATTGTCTTCATCACATAAGTGGAATGTACCAGACTTCAAATCTATTAATTAGATTAGAATTTTTAAATTTTCCACTTGATGAACACATTCCAAAAGAAAAGTCAATACCCCAAAAACACTGTTCATTGAAACAGAAAATTTCATTAACGATCTTAGACACATTTTCGCGATGAGATTCGTGGTTATTAATAGTGGAAAAATTTGTTAATTTTGTTCTTCTCATCGAATTTTAAAATAAATCTTATTTTTAGGTATACAGTAGTAAAAAATGAAACAACAATAAAAATATGTGAAAAGTCACAAAATTATCATATTTCTATAAATTATTCCATATTTCAAATTATTCGTCAGAAAATGTGTCGGATACAAGAAACCGGCATACTCTGGACTTATAAAAAGACTCTAAAAAATCTGGATTTCAAGGATGAATTGTCTAAAATCACATAAACTCGAAGGCTTACATGTGCAAACCAATGAACTGACTGAAGATTCAAAGAAGACAGGATTTGAAATGAACATGGAAAAGACGGGGGTGATGAAATCAACCAACCAGCAGTAACAGCAGCCGGCACCAATCATTGTCAATGGAAGAAATTTGAAAAAGAGATCACTCCCTTCAGTCACATAGAAAGCGTTGTTTCAACTACTGTACTCCACAGCATACACAACAAGATTTTCACTTCCGTCGTTAAGCTAATCAATTCTTCCATATACTTTAGAGACTCGAGGCGTCACTGAAAGCATTTCGAACCGACCACTGCAGAAATTTATCAACAGCTGCCTTCGTTCGCTTTGTTCTTGAGGTCAAATCGCCAAACAAAAATGATTAGGAACAATGAACTCTGGGAACCAACCGACCAAGAACCTATTTTCCAAGAAATATTCTGAAGAGAATGGATATGAGTCGATACAGTCGAATGACATCTGGAGTGGAAGACGACGAGTTGAGCATGAGTTCGAGAATGAACTGGAGAAGATCGCGTGATGAGGAGGTGAGAGACTGTGGGCGATTTTGTGGCCAGCTAAGTGGGACCACAGAGAATGTGACAGTGTGGATATTTGCTTATGAAGCCTTGTTTTCCATTCGGATCACATGGGGAGAATGGTAATAATATGATGAAAAGTGATTTTGTATTTCTAATGAACCAATCACCATAGACGGAAATGCTTGGTGTTTGTTGACATGTGGACTCGTAGCATAGTCACAGTGAAGATTCCTTCAGGCTATCACGGTTTCATTTGTCTGATTTGACTGTAGGTGAAGCAAACACTGAGGTTCACTCTATTTTGTACTTGGCAGGTGGATGTATGTACATTCTGAGTGAATGGTGTTGTTCCCAGTGGGATGCAAACCCAGTGTCATACACTAGGCTGGCACATCAACCTGGATAATCTAAAATAGGAGGAACCGGGCGCCGTGGATCCAACTACTAATCTTCAACGAAGAAGAAACATTAGCTTCAAGTCATACATGGAAATAAATAGTCTCTGAGATTTCCTATTCGTTGGAAGACTGAATCACTTCGAGAGGTGATGAAATACTCATAATTTCAGGATAAAGGAGTGAAAATGTATCCTTTGGATTTTGACACTTTCATCAGGAATCTAATATTAGATAATGAACTGACTAGTATATTTTGTTTTTCAAACAATTTTTATTCCACCTTGGAGAGTAAGAAATTTAATTATGAGGTGAAGAGTGAATAAGGAAAATGTTACTCCTAATCTTTATGTGAATTTGTTCACTTGATGGGTGAAGCTTTTGTCCAAAAATGTGATCTATATAATGAATGATGAGTATGGGGACAAGAGATGTGTGTTGTGGAGTTGAGTTTATAGGATGTAGGGACAAAAGGCTGATAGTAAGGTAGCTGAAACGAATACTCATGTGACTGAGTAGGGACATCAGGGATTGATTAAGTGAGTCAAGAAGGGAAGTCATTTCTGGAGTTACAGTAATGCAAGTATAGATAGTAAATTTATGCATTGAAAAATATTGTTGAAACCTAATTTTTCAATGAAACGTCCAATGATTCATATTTGGACCCTCAGCCATGGCTTTCAATTGAATATTGGATCAAGAACATCTTCCCTACTACCATCGGTATTACTCACGATCGTGGTGAAAATAATGGCGCAGCAGGGAGTGGTGGAAGAAAAGACAGGAATTCTTCAGACAGAAATGAAGGCCCTGGAAATCGTTTCCTCACAGGTTATATTTGTCCTATATCTCACGAATTGGAAGATCTGCAAGTGACCAACTACAAGTCAGCAGACGAAGCAATGGAGACGGAACATCAAGGGAACATATGAAGTCAGAGGCTATGAAGCTGCCAAATCAATAAAAATCAACAAACAATACCATTAAGGGCAGAAGGAAGCCATCCTTTCAATTACATACAGCACAGTTGAGGATGTCAAACTGATTGGGATTGGAAAAGCGAGAGAGAGGCCTTCTATAAAATGAAATCGATGTGTAAATCTGCTGTACTCAATACAAGTCACACGACTTGGATTTTTAATACTAATTTCAAGCCAGTCATTGCTTCTATATGATTCAGTGAATTGGCAAATCACGAATAGCATTTTCTATGGGACCTAGGCTTTCATCAACTGCACCCGTCTCTTCGTATTGAAGGGTTTGGGGCTAGACTGAAAAGACAAGCGAGAAGCAACTATAGCAATGAACCAATCAAGAACCTATTTCTGAGCAAATATGCAACGAGGAATGTAGATGAATTTGGCACACGCTGAGGAAACTGGTGAGTGAAATCCGATTAATAAAAGACAACTTTGGAGTTCGAGAATGGCATGTAGGACATAGTGAAATAAGGATGGGAAAGCTTAGGAACAATCCTGGAGGCAGCTAAAGAGGACTGTAGAGAACAGAGTATGCTTTTGATGCCCTATTTTCTATTCTGAAATCCAGGGAATAATAATCATTAATATTATTTGATTGTTTTCAAAATAAATAGAACATTTTATCACTCAAATATGAATTATTATAGTGGTGTTGCAATGAGTATTACTGAAAATCTCTTAACAAATCTCTTAACTATACTGCTGTCAAGTGACTACTTTTGAGACGCGTTCTTCTGAAATTTTATTGTAGGCATATGGCCCGTATTAACTGGTAAATTCAGTGTGAAGAAAGGCAGTGAGGAAGCCACAGTGGGAACTGAAATGCCCAGGGAAGCACATTTAAGCATTTGAAACCTATGTGACGTTTAACGTCCGATAGAACTATTTTTCGTCAAATCAAAATATAACTTACAGGTTGCTTATATGAAAGTTGCTTATACACACCGGCCTTCAATGTGTTTTGTATTCTTAGCTTGTATGCTTGGTGTGGGCCGATTTACCAAAGGCTTTGTCTCTTACATTTCCAAGCTTTACCTAATTCTTTCAACCCACATAAATCCTAGTGGTTTCTCAAAGAAAAATTGGCAGAAGTTGGAATTCATAGACCACCGGACCGGGTCTCACTGGCTTAATGGTCTGCAAGCTTGCCTTGTAACCAGAAGGTCCTGGGTTCAAACCCTAGTAGGTGCGTACCGATGAAGAGTCTCAAACTAGGGCGAAACGACTATCCAGTACTTCCATGTTTTCCAGCGGCCAGCTAATGACGAAATTCTGTAACCAATCAATTAAATCCATACAAACCAATGCTTGAAAATAAAAGAAGATTTGTTGATTAACTTCATTTTGACTAATTAGAATCGAGATGAATCTTTTAACATGAAGTACATTTCGCACATTTTCATTCTTTTGTATTTCCAGTGAAAAATACAGCGTCAAGGTTTCAAGATTTAGTAATGGTGATGATTTTGTGGTGAGAGCAGGCTGCTAGCCTATTGGTAGACATAAATTTACGTCAGTGTTTAGGTCACTAATATTCGCCGTGAGAAAATATGAACAAGGCTGATTCAACAACCAATCACAGCAGACTTAACGTGGGCAGATACAACTTGCAGATATATGGCTTAACTTTCTGAGTAACCAGTCACAAGCAGTGCAGAATAACCTTGAGCAAGAAACAACCAATCAGAAGACTGTTTTTGTCTGCTTGAATAAGCCATAATAATGTACATGAAATATATATAAATACGTGCTGATTTCCGTGAAGAAACGGTCTGTTGCCTGGCCCTTTTATTCTGTTGTTACGATTTTACGTAGTAGCCTATAACCTAACTTCCTCTCTTTTCTGGGCTTACTGTGAGCTGCTAAACTAGATTTAGGAGTGAGTTGACTGGAAATCGAATCCACAGCGTATGTGTAACTGGTGAAGATTCTGCCACTAACCTACTGATGCAGAAGTGAATTTCCTAACCAAAGTTTAAATGAATCGAACAATCAAATGGCTGTTAAGTGTTATTCAGCTACATTTCCATTCATCATAAGGAGTATGGAGTGGCGAACTAATTTAGATTGGAAATCAGAAGTCTTTGGAGACAAATTGCATCACAGAACGCATTTGTGGAAGTAATTCAAATCATGTACATATCCATCTACTTACGACTTTAAAAGAGGTATTTAAAGTGTATCCACTGTCTCGAAGCAGCGATACAGAACAACCTGTTGCAAACTGTAAACTAGACCGGGATAAGTTTTTAAATTATGATTAGAAACCAAAGGATTTTTAAAGATTTCCAGGGAAACACCAGACATTCACGATATTAGTTGAGCACTTATTAGAAAAGTGGGCTCATCGATACATGGAGGAGGTAATGAAAAGAGGAGATGAAAGGATGTGAGAAAATGTGGAGCCCAGTTGAAAACGTTGGCAGACAACCGAATCAACGGAGACGTACGACTGAAGCTTTACGTTCTTCTAGGAACTAAAGGAAATAATAATAACAATGACAAGAAAAGTGGGCTCACTTGCAGAAATGTTCATCTATTACCGATCGATAAGTTCCTTTGGTTAATAGAAACATTTCAGCTATCTGAACAACTGAAAGTGAGAGAAAAGCAAAAAAAGAAAAGGCGTCAAAGGGTGCGATTTTCCTGAAAACTGATTAAGAGTCTCAAATGGGAGTGAAATTCTCACCCCCGATTCTATTCATAGCCACAACTAATCAATTAAGTTAATTTTTCGAAATTAAACTTTTCTGTCTTGTTTCGTGGTTGCTTAGAAATTTCAGTAGAAATTACAGACTAGATAGGCAAGGAAAGTTCAGGTGAAACTAAGAAAACATTGAAACGTCTATTGATTATAATTTCAACTGAATTAATGTAGCATCGTGCATCGGTGGTATAGCGGTTAGGAAGCCCGCTGACCATGCACATGGTTCGGGGTTCAATCCCCGGCCGACGCACTCCTTCACCTCGCTGAGCTAGAAATAATACAGAAACTTCAAGCCACTAGCTTGAAGCCCTATGTTTCACTGGGGAACGTGAAGGAAAAAATGTAGCATTAGAAATTATCTCGCATTAAAAGGTTCTTTTTGGCTTAAAACGAAATCAGTTTCATTTCACATTACAAATATCATAGCATATGGTGGGTGTAAATTAGTCCTGTCTTTTGACACCTAAGTGGTATATATATTCATAGTTAAACAATTTAACATTGAATAGTTCCCTTACAATGATTTATCACATAAAGATACATGTTATTATTATTATTGCTCTCTTGGGTTCCTAGTGGAACACAGGGCTTCAACTGCACGTCTCCATTTTCTTCTGTCTTCTGCTATACTTTTCACCTGCATCCATGTTAATCCATATTCTTTCAACTCCTCTTCACACGATCTCCTCCATGTCACCCTTGCAGTGACGTCCCACACGCCGCTTCCCTTTCGGGTTCCACTCAAGGGCTTGGCGAGCGATGTCACCCAGCGGTCTCCTCAGCGAGTGTCCGATCCATCTCCACTTTCTCTTGCATATTTGTTGGTTGGCGATTGATTCTTGCTTTGTTTGTTCCCACAATTCCTTGTTGGTGATTCTTTCCGGCCCGGCCATCTGATCTTCAGTATAGAGCGAAGACAGTTGTTAATAAAGGTCTGCAGCCTTTTGGAAATATTCTTTGTGACCCACCCGCCAAGTTTCTGATCCGGATAGAAGAACTGACTGACCTGACGTTTGTATTGAAAATCCGACTGAATTTTGTTTTTGATTCTGACTGAGTGACGAAGATTTACATATTGATTTCAGGTTGATGAATGTGTTTCTCGCCTTCCCGATTCTCGCTCGATTTGACATCCTCGTTCGCTCCTTCGTTCCTGTAGTTGAGACAATGCTCCCTAGATAAGTGAATGAAGTAGCCTCTTTCAAATCCCTCCCGTTGACGGTGATTGGCACTGGATTTTGCTGCTGCTGTTGTTGTTGTTGGCTGGTTATTTTCATCACCTCCGTCTTGTCTATGTTCACTTGGAGTCCTGTCTTCGCCGGCTGCTTCTTCGACCAGTTTATCGGTTTCCGCTGGTAAGTCTTCGATTTTGTGTGACATCAAACATAAATCATCCACGCGCGAAATCCAGGTCTTCTAGGTTCTTCACGTCGGTCCAGACAGGATATTCCTGTCTTCTCGTTTCCCACAGTCTGACGCATAATCCAGTCAGTCCACCACAATTAGGAATATCATTGTGATAGATAATAAGCACCCTTGTCTGACTCCTGTGTTTACCCCAAAGATACATAAATAATCAAATAAACTTTGAATATTGAGGTACCATGGTGAATTTTGCTACAGAAGATAGATGCAACTGATGGCATTAAAACAAACTCACCTAATGCTTCCATCATCTTACTGCTTACTAAATATCTACTCACATGATAACCTATTCATATTATCTATAGAAGGAATATAACTATTTATGTGCGTCTTAAAGAGCTTGTAGGTCTTATTATTTGACTTTTGTAAACATGTTTTAATGTCTCTTTATCGATATGATGACTGATATAAGACTTAGATAATATCCGCCCATATTTTACCGGTATATCTGTAGGAACAGAAGCTTACTGGATCACACCTTTGCTACAGCAAACCATTTGTATAACATGCTTCAAGATTAAGAATAGTCAGAATAAGATCTCAAGCTGGTCATCTTCTGAATCATGTAGTTATGTGGTTGCGTTTCTGATGATAAGTTTAAAATTTAATTTCAAGTGTCAAGTTTCTTCATAATGTAGAACTAATTACAGAAAATCATCGAAAACTAGGTAGCTCTCAAGAGCTGTTTCGTATCATCTCGAGACTCTGTACTGTGAGCTCTCACGAACACCCCAGGGCCTTGAGATTATGAGACCAAGCTTGTTGGCCATTTTTGGCCACTCCGGCTTGAGCATCTCCTGGTGTAGTGCCACCATCACGAATGCCTTTGGTGGGCACCCAACTGACCTTGACTTTGTGAATCCCCACTGCTTATGATTCGCCACTTCAGGTCCTGTGTGCGATACTTCACAAGGTCGTAGGTGCGCGCGGCCGGAGACTCCTGAAATACGGAGGAACACAACTGCCTAGTGATCTATGGTTTTCAGTGATCTCCATAACTGATGAAATTAAATTTTATCTAAATCCTCACAGATCTCATGATCTAAATCTAAAATTGTCAGCTTACATTATATTCTGCTTTTTATTTCCAATACTATCTTCACCAATAATCTAGCCAGTGAAAACAATGCCTACAGACATTCATGTTGAAATATTGAACTCACGTGATATATGTAATTTTCTAACTGGCATACTGCACAAATTGTCCAGCATAAGAGATATGGACAAGGATTCATCATGGAAATATAACTAAAAATTGAAAAGATGAAAAAAGATCTTCAACAGCACGAAAAGTAGGAGTAAAAATTATAACTGTCTGTATCAGTTTAAGGCAGGTGATGCTGTTTTTTTAGTCCATAAATTAATTCAGATTTAAAAAAAAACTGTGATGAGAAGTTTGTTTTACTAGCGTCAGTCTTAAATGTTTACATGGTAAATAAATGATTAGAACATAAGGATTGTAGCTGCTATCCTGTCAGTATTTTAAAAGTCATATACAAATGTCTTTAGTTAGTGGAAGGCATGTTCCTTAGTGCAGACGAACTGTTATCTGTGAGGTAAGTGACAGTGGTTTTCTTTCCAAAGTACCTACCTGATCTGTTATACTATTGAGTAAACGGTTTGGAACTTATTTTTAATGCTGGATAGTTCTACGCTCGAAAAGGTTTATTGAAGCACTTGAAAGGATCTAGATTTTATGTCGTTCAATAGTCGCACATTAATTTATTATTATTTTATATCATTATTCTCTTGATTTCCGAGTAAAACACAGACCTTCAACAGCCCATGCCTATTTCATCCCGTTCTTTGCAGCCCTCTATAGCTGGCTCCCCCGATTGACCTCCTTCGTATCACCCTCAGACTCTCGACTCGCTGTTTTCTATTCAAGTTCCTGTCTGGTGACCAGTGTCACTCGGCAGTCTCCTCAGTGTGCGTTGAATCCATCTTCATTTTCTTCTGAATATTTTTGGGGCTGTAGGTTTTAATTTGCCTCAGTGCCTTAGCAGCAGCTTCTTGCTGCTTATACCCTCTGGTCATCTGATATTCATTGCAGAGCAAACGTAGTTAGGTATCGATAAAAGTTTGCAGCAGCCTGTTCGGAATGCTTCTCCTGACGCGTCGAATTTCATATAATTATGACATAGTCTTTATTTTCGATGAATTGTTCTACAAAGAGGTAAAAACCATGATGACAATGCATTTATTAATTATTCATCTGTACCAACTTCGCTGACGTTTACGAAAATGATTCCGGCTGGTAATCATCTATCAGTGTTATTTGAATACTTTAAGGCTGAGATTGTGCATACACTAAACATCATTCTAAGCTTCACGACTATTTGATAAAGTGTGTAAAGTCATCAGGAAACATCCTACTGTTTGAAACAACTAGCTGGAGATTATTTACTTCAACTAATATTTCTTCCTGGATATATCGTTGTCACAGACAGACTACCAAACGTTTTTTGCTTCCAGTGGAGTTTAAGTGACACTGGTATGTGACGTGACTGGCGTTTAGAATAATCAAATCATCACAAAGTTAACACCTTCCTTTAGAAAGATATCAGTTTCAGTGAGATCATTCATCAGAAAAATATTTTCTCTGCGCGATAAATCCGTATACATAGATAACCTAAGGTTTTAAACTAAGTCCACAATATCAGTACTGTACTGTGCGTCGATGGCACAGTGGTTAGGACTCTCACCGACCAGGCACATGGTCCGAGGTTCGAGCTCACACCGACGCACACCTGATATCTATGGTCGGCCTGCGAAATTCGGGCTACCGATTTCCACGCTAAAAATTCCATACTTGTACCAAAAATACGGTGTGGAATCAAGCTGTAATCAAAAATAAAAAAAATAAAATAAAATACACTTAAATAAGCTTAATCACATAGAATAAATAGTCTCTTAGGTATATTTGTATTGAGCAATGCAAAAGCTAAAATACTACTATATTCAGATTGATTTATGCAATGAATATTACCGGTTTTTCTATGGAAGCTGCAATACTCAATTCCCCTGAGTGACAAGCAAAATTAATAGTCTTTCTGATTGATTCAGCAACAGGATAAATAGGACGATGTATAAGTTCAGGTCCAGCGGAATACTTTCTCAAAATAATTGTAACTGTGGAACTGAAAGCAAAACGAATAGAAAAATTTGATACCAAGAAAAATGTATTTTCTTTATGAAATCTATAAATAAATGAATTGGATGATGAACACGCCATACAACTTGTTGTGTGAGAGCGAATAAGAGGTTTTATAACCTTCTTGAATACGTGATCACTTGTTTTTATTTCTTCATTTCATCTGTTCCCAGTGGAACATAGGACTTCAAGTTTTGAGGTTTAAAAATCCAGTGCCCATGGGGTTATTCTTCTCACATCCAACTTCCCGTCTTTATCAAGCCTGCTACCGGATCAGTGAAGCTATAAAGTGAGTGGTTTGAAGATCACATGCACTTCTGGCAAGCACTCTGCCACTCAACCAACAACAATTGAATACGTAGTCGTTAACCTAACTTTTAAATAATTCTATAAAAATTCAAATGCTTTTTTCAGGTTTGACGTCAGATTGGTATCAGTTAGAGAACCATTGAAAATCATCGCTGGAGTACTGGAAAGCTGATTCTTCTACGTTTGAAACCGTTCATCAGTACGTATTCAAAGTGGTTTGAACTCAGTACCTTCCAGTTACAAGTCAAGCTCGTAGACCATTCAGTCACTGAGACGCGATCCAATTGCCAACCAATGAATTCTGCCCTCTGCCAATTCCTGATTTTAGCGTAACCACCTGTCAGTGTTATCAGCGAGTATTTGTCGTTCCTGCTGACCTGATGGACCTAACTGGTTACGATTTCCCACTGGAACTCTAGGTAACTTCGTCTTGTAGCCAATTACTGACGTGCATCAGATTATTTTCAACAATTAGTTTGTAGGAATTTGATATCAGTTCGCCTTGTAACCGAAAGGATCTGGATTTGAACCTTTTTGGGCACATAGTGATGAAGGGTCTCAAACTTAGACGAAACAGCTGTTCAGTACTCCAGTGCTGGTTTTCAATGATTTTCTATCATTCCATGGGCAATGGAATTCTATAAATGCATTCGCTTCTCAGTAATTCTCACAGCCATTCTGGAACCATTTGATAAAACAACAGAGTTTTGACACATAATAACATCGTACTTAGTTATCTGTAGTAATTATTCTCTTGAGGATATTTAGTAGTCCGGGAAAATCGAAAATAGTATGACGCCAGACAACGTTAATCTTATTCATAAAATTTATTTTTCTTTTACGCAAAAGCAAAATCTCATTGATTGTTCGTATGAATGATTTACCCATCCCATATATATATATATATATATATATATAGCTATCTTTTCAAACAGTTGACATATGGCGTTATATTATGTCTGAAGTAAAGAATGCTATATAACACTATAATCAACATATGTTTAAGTGTGAAGTAAGTCAGTGTTATCTCAGTCATTTCATTTCAACCTTTTTAGATTCATTACATAGATTTGTAACAAAAAGAAAGTTAGCAATGCTGACACACAGTTGTAAGTAATAATAGTTGCTTATTGTGAAAGCAATCTCCCATTGTCATATGTAAAATAGTCGTGTGACAACTGTAGATATTTATCTAAAAGATGAATCATTTTGTTTATGAATGATGAAAAAGTATGTATTTTACTGAGAAATTGTTTTTCTTTCATTGAAAATTTTGTTGCACAAATCTATTACTCATTACATTATGTAAGAGTAGACTCCGTAAACAAAGCTAGATTTCTGAAAAATTTCAACCACTTTTACCAGACCTTGGTAAATGCATACGTATGTAATTAGAGGAGTAGTATCAGACCTCTCACAGATATCCGTCTTAATAAGAAACAGTTGCTTCCTTCTGAATTTAGTCTGCATCAAACAAAGGAGGTCAACCCCCCGCTTGAATGGCTTAATAGTAACGTCTCAATCTGCAGTACTGGGTGATATGAGTTCGAATCCTAAAAATGCACATGAGTTCCTTCAAGATTACAGAAACTTCATGCTTATGGGTAGCGATAAGCACGAGACTTAGGTTCATAGCTATCCACCAATCTCTACCAGCCATCTTTTAACAACAATTTAGAGTGCACCGTGGTGGTGAGTCAAAATCGATATTTCATAAAAGGCTAAAATCCGTGAATTTATATTATAAGTTTATGCGATTTGCTAATATCATCCCGAGTATCTCAGTTTTGAAAAGCCATAATAAGAACATTGGATATCAATACTTTTGTGAATCGGTGGATCAGTAATAGATTGCTTGTCAGCTATGAGGGAGGTCTCGGTTCGATTACCAGCTGACATACGTCTAAACCCTGCCTAGCCAAAGGTAGCCTTGGAAAAGAGAAAAAATACCCAATCCCGTAAGAATAGCCTCAATACAGCTCGAAACCCTATGTTCCGTGTGGAACGCAACCAATGAAAAAGGTAAAGTATTAAAAATGTAAGCTGTATAATCTTCTGAAGTCAGAGTTTCGATCGTTTTAACTGACGCTGGGAAGTACGAATACATTCACTAATAATAATTCAGTACATATATATATATGTATAATTGTAGGAATCGGTTCACTCAATGTAGTAAGATTTACGTACTACGTTACGTGTTCAAAATCCCTCTGAAGGAAGCATCTTTCGCTGTAACTGTTTATTTGTAGAATTTGACTAAAACATTCTTTGATTATAGTCAACTGTTAAATGTACGCACCCACTGGGGTTCAAACCCAGGACCTTCGGGTTACAAAGCAAGCTCGTATACCATTCAGCCACTCAAACCTAATTCAATGAACACTTCATGAATTCTGTGTTCTAACTTCTACCAATTCGTGATTTAACGCGACCACCAAACAATACCATCGATGAGAAATCAATCCTCACAATTGGCTGGTTGGACCTCACTAGTCATGACTTTTCTCTAGGGAACTAGGGACTGGAAGATCCTGGGTTCGAATCCCAGTGGGTGCGTGCTGCCGATGATTCCCAAACTAGGAAGAAACAGATGTCTGGCAGTACTGTCTGATTTTCAATGGTTCTCAGGGCGAAGTTAAACTTTCGACACCACTAACTACCAATCAGCGAATTATCCAATGAGATTCACGAACGATGTCGAATTATCCAATGAGGTTCACGAACGCAGTTCAATGTTCTATAGCGCTTGATTCATTTCTAATGCGTGACCTTACAAAGCTATTGTTGCAATTCGAGGAGGTTAGCGTTTTCCAGTATTTCCTGGATTTGACTTGCGCCGGAAAGAGCGAATTTGTTTGTGTGGTGGTATCATGACTTTAAAAAGCTATACCAAATCAACTGATGGGTTTGTTCATCGTTGTGCTATATGTTTGAAGCCTACTAACGCTGGAGAGAGTAAGCTGATAATTTTAATATTTCGTAGGAACTTTTTTCGGTAGGTCGCTTCTCTCCCTAAGGATAGCAGATAGAAAAGCAACTACTCTAATACCTATTATTACCAGACTTGTTAAGCGGGGGTCAATTATACACACCGACAGGTGGAAAGGCTACAATTCGCTGTCATCTCTGGGATATATTCATCATAGAGTCAACCATTCAAGTGATTTTGTGGATCCCGTTACGAGGACACATACAAATTCTATTGAAGGATTTTGGGGTAGGTTGAAAAATAGGATAAGGGCTATAAATGGACCTCATTTATGGTTATTTGGATGAATATATGTACAGGATATGGTGTAACTTCTCTATTGACGGTCCCATGCTAAACTGGGAGATGTTTCTGTCACATGTTCGAGAAAGATATCCCATGTAACTTTTTTATTCTCTATTTTATGCTTTTTTCTACAAATATACATTTCCATTCATCATATATGCCTCTTTAATGTGACTGGTCCGTTCAAGGTCGTTTTCTGATTGGTTGTTAGTGGTGTCGAAAGTTTAACTTTGCCGTTCTCAGACTGGTATGAATGAATCCATGGTCAAACTTGTAAAAACAAATCTAATCCTTACAAACCAACTCTTGAAAATTATTAAATGACGTTGTAAGACGGTATTTCAGTTATGTGAAGAGAATGTGTAGTAACGAAACCTTCCTTTGCGTCTAACTACTTCGATATTAAAATTAATAACTGACTGAATAATAGCCAGAAGATCCCTTATGTGGTAGCTAATTTACGTTTCTCTAGAAAAAAAATTCTTCATTCTGTGGAAGTTTGGGAAAGAATTGAATGTACTTTATTCCGCAGAGGTTACTACAAAAGTAACTCACCTTGCTGGTTGAGTATTATCTATTCGTCTTCCAATGAACGCTGTTAGTCCATAGCTAATACCGTAGAGCTAAAGAAAAAAGGGATAAGAAATGACAATGGTGACAAATTCACACATTAATCTTTTATAATTGAAAATGAATTTGATTAATAAGAATGACTATCTAGAGATCAATGCACCACCTAAAGTTCCACGTAGAGTAACACATGCAGTTTTCTCTTTTTCCTATTGTTTTAATTAAAGACTAAATCCATCAGATAAGACATGTACTTTTGCACATATTCAACCAGATTTGTGTTTTAGTAAGTGAACTTCTGTAAGGAAGTGAAGAAGAAATATTGTGGGGTATAGAATGGTCACATGGTTAATGCGGCGAACTTAAAATGCTCATATGGGTTTGGGCCTCACCTTCAGGAAGCGGCTTGTCAGGGTACTATCTCGAATAGTAAAACAGTTGATTAGCATATAAGAGGTGTTGGTATCGATGCTCAGGTACTTCAAATCATCTTGTCTTCAGCCTCTAGACGGTGACAAGCACTTTCCTGCTTCGGTGGTTCAACAGTAGACTGGCTGTCAACCACCTAAGTCGTTTAGAGTTCGGTTTCTGACCAATGCACGCTTAAGCCTAGCCCAGCCTAGCCGGTGATGGGCCTTCTGAAGAGGGGAGGTAGGTGACGGTGACACTTTCATCTCGTAAAAGACAAAATGTCCCTGTTACTGAAACTGATGATCTGTGCCTTGAGGACCTATTCCGTTGCGAATGCAGAGGAATTATATAATAATATATACTGGATCTTGTTTCATTTTGAACATTATTGCGTAAAATGATACACTGGTGATTTTTGTCTTAATTAAAGATCCGGTTAAAAGATCCAATATTTTGCAATGAAAATATGCTAATATTTCTGATCTAAGTATAAACATATTGCCTGAAACGGATCCTTCCTTTTATTGATAACTGTTAATATTATTGTTGTCATTAGATCAGTCTAAGTAACGCTGACATTTATGCTGATTTTCACAAGTTTCTGTTGACCTGAATCAATTTTCAAAAAATTTCAAACGCATAATTTGACTGGACACTAAAGGATGACTAATGTTATACTTTAAGTCTCTTGTTGGATGCAGACTGTATTCAGTCATTCAAAATATTCACCACATTCCCACAGAATATAAATCTCTAGACTGTTTAGCACCATGGTAACATTTATGATTAGAGCACAGATTGATCTGGGTTCGAATCTCATAACAGACATGAATTCCTTCGACATTGAAGACATTACCAACTGACAGATGAGTGAGAAATCTAAGCCCAAGGCTACTATCAATTGTCTCTAACCACCTGAAAATTTCAAATTTAACTCTCTGATTTTCAAATATGTTCCAAAATGAATAACTCTGTATCACAAATTATTCAGTGTTCCTTGTCGAATAGTCTTTAGCCAAGTTCATCCAAATATCAGACTCTTAGTTTAATTTTCAGACACAAACGTGATTTCATTGAATTGGTATGTCCCCATGATTCTTATATCATAGAAGGCAATGAAGTTGAAACTAAATTCAATGGTAAATACTTTGAATTATATCCTTCCCGCGATCTTTCCTGGTCTTCCCACATCTATATTTGCACCTAAACGAGTATAGTTAGAAGTTAGTTTCCAGTTTCTAGAAAGATATTTTGTCTAACCTTCTAAATGAGAAAGTTAAGACAGTCTGAAATCACTGAGTCTCTGCTGTCACAGTTTGTTAATCCATGTATTCTAATTTTTTCCCCTTATTTTTTCCCCTTATTATTTCTTAGCCTACTTATTAAGGACTTTGTAACACTGGAAAGACATTAAAAGCTGTCAATAGGGCAAGTGGAGCGTCATTAAACCAACACTTTAATACTGCAGTAGATAAACACATGGATTCATGAGAGAAATTAAATTATATCACCTTGTTGGAAACTGATCATCCTCTCTATACTCGACTCTCTTATGATATCTCATCAAGTGCTCGTGGTTGGATGTCTAAGTATAAAGACCCAACGATGCCTTATCTTTCATTATTTTTTTTGTGGTGTGGGAAGTACTGGGCATGAAATTACCAACTTAATGCGAAATACTGAGGGACTATTTATTCTTTCTTTCGTCAGCATACTGTTGTTAACACTTCCCCTGGAACTTTAAACTTACATTTGTATTCTTATTGTCGTCATAATCAATGCAAATGTCCTGTTAATCATTTTTCCCCGTAATATGCATTATAAAGAGGAAATTAGATGCAGTGATGTATTACATGCTGAAAACTACCATTTGTAATAAAGTCATCATTATTATTGACATTTTATACTTTTTAGTTATTCTTTGCTGAATAACTAACTATTAGAATATGTTGTGCTTTAATTATTCAATAGGTTACTTTATTCTCCTTAATTATTTTCATTTTCAATATATCGCCATGTAATGTCTCATAGAGAGCCAGAGATTAGCGACTGACAGCAATCGGTTAATTGAGTAGTAGATCACGCTTAACATTTTGAAATGACAAATAATACAATCTATCCTAAGTGAATTTGTTTATCATGGCTCTATTGCTGCTAAGGTAGTTTGCAATTATCGAATTTTAATCCATCCTTCTGTGTACTGAAAACATTTGCTTTGGAAATTAGATCTATTGATTATACAGAAGTGCAAACTTGGAGACTGTGGCAGATGTGCTCAGGCTTGGTTTGGAAGGGAAAGAAAGGTACCGATCTATTGTAAGAAAGGCTGGTTACCTTGTCAAGCTTCCAAAGACGAGCAACATAGGTCTCTGAAGGAACTGGCGTGGAATAATGCTCCTTTCTACGTAAAATAAAATAAAACGTCGCGTCATCCTGGAGAGAATAAAAGATTCACCGAGTGCAGAACTCTGGCACATCAACCAGAACAAGCTAGATTCAGGAAAGGCAAATCATGTGCTGATAAAATTACAACTCTAAGCATAGTCATCGAACAAAGCATAAAATATCAGTCAAATCCCAGGATCAACTTCATAACCGTCGAAAAGATTTTCGATGGACAGAGTTGATCAAGAAGTAATTTGAGAACTGCTTCAACACTATGGTGTGCAGTGCCCAAGTCTTTATGAACCGCATTCGACAGCTGGCGATATGGTAGTGTCACGTGTCAGGTAATCCGCAACGAGAAACTCAGAGAGGCCATCCAGGTGAATATAGGAAGGAGTAAGACCAGCTGGATGCCTGCCTATTATCTCTGATTATAATATCAACTGAGGTGGGAGTGAGAATACAGGAATACGCTGGACCATCAATAAGAAGACTCTAAAAGATCTGCATTTCGTGCGTGGATGACTTATGTTTAATGTCACACAAAATCGAAGACTTTTAGGCGAAAACCATGAAACTTGCAGAAGAGGCTGACAGACAGCGAAGACAGAACTCCATGTGAATTTAGACAAGACGGAGATGACTAGGATAACCAACCAACCAACGACACCAACAACAACCAGCACCACTCGCTATCAATAGGAGAGACTGGAAAGAGGTTACTTCCTTCACTTATCTAGGAAGCATCGATTCACCTACCATCATCTACCAATAAGGTTACAGAAACTCCTCCTGTGATTACTTCTCTTCACCTAGTTTACTTTACACCGTTATCATCATTATTATGATTTGCTACCCTTTGATTTTACACAAATCTTACAGTTCACTATATGACCACTTTGTTTTATTTGTCACCACTGTGCGTCGGTGGCACAGCGGTTAAGATCCTTGCCTACCATGCACATGGTCCGGGGTTCAAGCCCACGCCGACGCACACCCGATATCTATGGTCGGCCTGCGAATTTTGGGCTACCGATATCCACGCTGAAAATTCCATACTTGTACCAAAAATACGGTGGAAAAAAAAAAAATTCGACACAAGGGATGAAGATGCCAAAGGAGGCTATAATCAGAAAGTAAAGATACGCTTTCATCGACCTGAAACCAGTTAGAAAATCTTCTCCACTGTACACAGCCAGAATAAAGGGCAAGAATCGGACTTTCAACAAAAAATGTGAAGCCAGTCATCTCTTCTACATGGGTCAGAAACTTGGCCAACATGTCACAAAAATGATTTGCAACAAGCTACAAACTTTTATCAACAGCTGTCACCTTCGCTGGCTCCATACTGAAGATGAAATAGCCAGCTGGCAGGCCAGAATGAATTAGCAACAAGAAACTCTTGCTGGCTAAGAACAAATCAACGAAGAGCCAATCGGTCAACAAACATATAGGAAAAAGTTGAGATGGATTGATTGAGGAAGCTGTCGAACAACATTACGTGCAATGCAGGCCAACATTTGAGTGGAAAATGAATGATAAACAACCAGTGGGTTATCGGTGTAAGGGTGACATGGAGTAGATCGTGTGGCGAAGAAGAGATGACAGATTATGGGCAGTTGTGGACCCAGCTGAGGAGTATATAACAGAAAACAGAACAAAGTGGGGATGTGTTATTGAAGTCTTTGGATCACAGGAATTATTAAAAAGATGGTTGCAGAGAAGAAAAGTTTCTTTTCAACTAAGTCATAATTTAGGCTGTACATCCGTGTACTAATATAAAATGTTTGAGAAAGTTTCAATTGATTCATTTGCATGGTATCGTCATCGTTTTCGTACTGACAGACTAGACTTTCAAACTTCATGCTCTTATTAATACGAAAGCACTTAAACTAGATGTCGTACATTTCTAAGCTTAATTTTAGCGTTCTTAACTGTAGTACAAGTTATAGACAAATAGAATCTCAGAGTGATTTTCAGTTCATTGTACATCGCTCAGATGATAAGCATTCAGCAATAAGTTTATTTGTAAGATTTCTTTCCGACGCTATTTTCCGTCTAATAATAATAATAATAATCGAAAACGAGTTACTGTAGGGAGTTTAAAGAATTTATGAGTGCACCACAAAATGACCAACTACAAATTAATCTTTATTGAATCAGTCGATTTGTGATCAAGCATTCAGGTAGATCACTTGGAATCAATGAATACTAATGACATATTTGCTTGTATCGCATAAAATTTAATCTAGTTACA